GGTTGCCATGGGAACGCTCCATTGGAAACGCGCGAGCCGTAGGGTGTGGGGGCAGGGGGCGCGCAACGCCGCACCCAGCTCCACCCGGGGAGGGGGCAGGGCCTCTCGGCGACAGACGACGGCCCGCGCAGGGTGCTAATGAGATGCAAGTGAAGCGGAGGGAGGGCATCTGAGAAGGAAGGCCCAGCTGGTGGGACCTGAAAGGGGCCTTCAGTGCGAGCCCCCAGCCCCAGCGGGAACCCCAGAGGGAGGACCAAGGTCCTCAGACGCCCTGGAAAGAACATGAGGTCGCCGTTTGTCTGATTCCAAATGCATAGTAATAAGGCATACAAGGAGCACTGCTTAGTCGTTTCAGTTTTATTTTTCTCGTGATGAATATTTTGTTGCTTAGAATATATGTTACATATATTTTATATGTTAAACAGTAAATAGTATCTTAAATATATATTAAATATATATAATTTCATATTCTTTCAAAATACTTTTTCCTCATCTTTCTGTTGCCTGTGTTTTCCATTACCCTCAGCTTGGTCTCCCGGCTTAGTTCCCTGCGCTCTGCCATCCCACGTTGTCTCATCTCAGATTGGTGGTGGGACACTGGGGATTTCTGTGTCTGCCAGTTCTGTCATCCTCTCTGGGTTTGTTGCAACCCCAGCAGTCACGCCCATGGGGGTGGGGGATGGAGATGGCGTTGAAGCTCAAGAGTCAGAGCTGTTCATTCATTTAGCCCACTAGTAGGGAGCTGGAGAGGGCTCAGGTCGGAAGACGGAGCCTCCCTACTTTGGTATGTGGCAGCTTCACCACCATGCAGGCTCCAATCTAGTAATAAGGCGCATCCTCCAGTGGAACTGTCCCAGGCCAACAGCCCCACTTGGCTCATCTTGAGGTTCTGCCTCTTTCCATCTGAGCCATGGGCCTGCTTCCAATCTGACCCCACTTCTCCACTGAAACAGCATTCTCTAAAGTCACCAGTGACCGTCATGCCTGGCCCTACATCCAACAGTCATCTCACCTTTTGTGATTTCTCTGTGGCATTAGCCCCTCATGATCACTAATTCTACTTGAAGCCCTTTCTTTTCCTTGCTTCCAAAATGCCTTCTCTCTTATTTTCCTCTCTGTGCACCACTTTATCTCTTCTATTTGGCATTAAATGTTGACCTGCTCCAGGTTTCAACCCTCTGTTGCTCTTCCTTCTCTATACTCTCCACATGCTCTCATCCCCCTCCGTATGTGGTATCAGTAACCACATTTTCTCACCCCCATCCAATCCATCACCAAGCTGTGTCATTTCTCTCCCTTCAAAGGCAGGTTACTATTTGATACTGTGGTAACATACTACCAAAGGAACTTCCTTTGAACCCTCCAATGGCTTCTCATTGCTCCCAGGGTAAAGAGGATTCCAGTCCCAACATGGGTGGGTCTTTGATGGCCCCTCAACATGACTCCCTCCCCTCCACCTCCCTCTCTTTGCTCCAGCCACTCCAGACATCTCTCTCTGAGCAGACCCTGTTCCCTCCCACCTCAGGTCCATTGCACACTCCCTCCCCCAGAACATTCTTCCCTCGCCTCCCCTTATTGGATTTCAGCTTAGTCATCACCTCCTCAAGAAAGCCCTCCCAAACTTCCCAGACCATGCTAAATCCTCATTACAGTTTCACATATTTTGTGTGCTTTTAGATGATTATTGGCTTACTCTTCCTCAGTGCCTTCCCCTTTGTGCCCCACTAGTCTCATAAGCAGCCACCAGGTCTGTTTTGCTCACCACCCCATCCCTACTATTCAACACAGTATCTGGAGCATAAGAAGCTGTCAACAAATACTGAATGGATGAATAAACAGATGAATGGATGAACCTGATCCCATTTATTTCTTTGTGACTTTGAAAAAGTTACTTCACCTCTCAATGCTTGAGCAATCTTCACCTGGGGACCTGCCTCAAAGGGCTGTGGAGATGGTGGAGCCAAACGGGGGAGATGCTGACAGGTAAAGGGTGACATGGAGGTGAGGGGGGGTCCTTCACAACACTCATAGTGGGCACATGAGACCTATCAGAAGAAAGCCTCACACAGTAGAGAGAAGCCAGAATGAAATCAGGAAAACCCAGAATCTGGCCCACTGGCCCTGACTCCCTGTGTGACCTCAGGCCAGTCTCTGCCCCTCTCTGAATTTCAGTCTTCCCATGGTCAGGATGTGAGGTCTGGCCTCCATGCTGCTCCAGGCTTGCTTACTTGTTCTGTGCTCTGACTTGGGAAACAGTCTTAGTACTTTAGAGGCAATAGGTCACCACCCAAGACAGATTCCACACCCAGATATGTTGGGCCAGTGCTCGGGACTGGGATCTCCCTTAACTGGTCTGGGCCTGGCTGAAGGTCCTGGTCCCTGAGCAGTGCCCAATACCTGCCTCCCATCCTGGCACAGAGAGACCTGCCAGTCAAAACACAGCAGGGACCAGCAAGGCAGTGACCCTGACAGGTGCGGGCGCCCTAGCAGTCAGGGTGTGGGGAAGGGGCCAGCCAGGAGACAGCCTGTAGGGTTCTCACCATTGGCCAAAGGCTGGATGGCTAAGTTGTCAGTTGGTAGCTACTTCTCTGACTGCCTGCTCCCTCTGTGCACATGGGGCATGCTTGGCCCAGGCCTGGGTGGGAGAAGCAGGGCACAGATCAGGGCCAGTTAGTCATATTCAAAGGATCTTTGGTATTCTTGGATAAGCCTGAGAGCCTTGACCTGGCCCCAGACTGAGACTTGGTCACACCTTAAGCCCTGACCCTGGTCATAGACCAAGCGCTAGTCATATACCAAGTCCTGATCCTGACCACAGACTGTCCTGACTCTGGCGAGTAATTGAAGAAGGC